TAATTCGGGGTAAGAATCCCTCACTATTTTTCGTTATGATAAATTAAAGTTTAATAATTAATAATAGTATGTTTGTAAAAATTAGAAACACTTAAAAGTAATTATATGTCACCAGTAGAGTCGGTAACTGGTCAATACGAAATTACCTATTTTATCGATACTGTTCAATTATTGCTATACTGTTATTATTTATTTATTGTATACACTTTAATTTATATGTTTATTTGTCTTGTTGTTTATTAATTTACTTAACTGTTTATCCCTTGATTAGTTTTGAAATAAATATTTTGATTATGCTTCTCTCTAAATATTTAATTTTGAACTATATAGTCTATTAAATCATCGTTCTATTTCTCCTGTAATCGTGAAATGAAATTATAGTTTGTAATTGGTGGCTGGTGAATGATGTGAACATGCATGTCTCAAATATCAAAATCAAACAGTGGTCAACTAAGACAGTAATACATGCATTTAAACATTAAAATAGATAAAACAGATACTATCATACTTTAAGACTATAAAATAAATCAACAGAGAACAATGTCTGGTTTGAGCTCTATTAGTAATTCATAATTAATTATGCACATCTATTTAATTTGTACAAAATATCGTAAGTGCGTAGGCCCTGGGTCTGATTTTTTGGGTTATTTGAGACATGTGTAGGTACTGTAAGCGCGTTTTAATTCCCAAGAAAAAATTTAGGAAATCAAGGGACCGGCTGTAGGCGCAGTGAAAATCTAGTTTTTGATGCCAAATCAAGTAAAGACCCCTCACCCTATTTCCTATCATGGATTTGAAGTATGAATAAATGATAATACTGTATTTTGTACAAATTAAATAGATATACATAATTAATTACGGTTGCTAATGGAGCCCGAACCGGACATATTTCTCTGTCAATTCTTGTTTGATTTATTTTATAGTTTAAATGCATTATGGTATCTGGTTTATTTATTTCATGGTTTTAAATGCATGAATCACTGCTTACTACACTACTGTTTGATTTTGGGAATCTAAGATATGCTTGCTCTGTTGGATGCACGTTACGTGTTTATGTATTTATGTTTGAGTTGGTAACGGAGACTAAGGACAGAGAGGAATGGGATGTGATTTGATAAATGAATAAAATGACAGCCTTACTAGATATCATGGGAGATGGTGGACGGACCAGGTTCATAGGAAACCCTACCGTGGATGTTGTCTCATACCAAACGAGGTATGGAGACTTGGTCATTTACTCATACCAGACGAGGTATGGAGACTTGGTCATTTACTCATACCGGACGAAGTATAGGGACGGCCCGCTTCACCCTTATACCGGACGGGGTATTGAGGTTTATTATTTTGGCGCTCATACTGGATGGGGTATGGGGATGGTCCTGGAATTAAGATTGTTAAGGGGAATGGTTCATGTGTAGCGGGGACCCCTATGGATCCCCATGGATACTAGTAGGCTGGTGAAAACGAGAAACAGCGATAATCAGTTATTGTTAATGAATACGAATTTATGATATGGTTTAGGTTATTGATTATGCATGAAAATTGTGATATGTATGATATTACTGCTTCTGTAATTTGTTTCCATAAATTCATCGATGGTAAGAAAAAGAGTAAATGGTTTTATTTTAAATAAATATATTGGCATGGACTC